GCACATCTCCCGAGTTGATTTCCTTCCTATGGAATTGCAGCAGAAGAGAGCTCCCATGGACTGTCATTGATGCAGATGTTGCTGCTGCTGTTAATTGATTGTGGCATGGTGTTGAGACCTCATTGAAGGATGGTGCTAAAGGTGGCATTGCTTTCTGCTGCAGCCCTGCCATTTAGCGCATGTGTATCAGGCGGCCCTCAGTGCCCCGATGTGGCACGCTGACACATGGTTAGCTTCTAGCCAGGTTCGATTCCAGCCTCGGGTCCGTGTGAAGTTTGCACATTCTCCCTGTGTCTGTGTGGGTTTGCTCTGGTTTCCTCCCACAGTCCAAAGATGTTCAGATTGGGTGGGCTGACCATGCTAAAGTGTCCACAGTGTCCAGGGATGTGTAGGCTAGGTGGACTAGCCATGGGAAATTCAGGGTTTTTGGGATAGGGTAAGTGGCTGGGTCTGGGTGGGATGTTGTTCGGAGGGTCAATATGGACCCGATGAGCTGAATAGCCTGCTTCCACACCATAGGGATTCTATGATTCTGTGTGATGCTTATTGAGCACTCTTTTAGAGCAGGACCTAGGAGATCTGAATCTGCAGGCCACAGAATCAAGCTCCAAGTTCACTCCTGACCTTCCAGTATCAGTGTGTGTCACTCAGTTGCATAAAAACATATGAACCAGGAGCTGGAGTAGGACATTCAGCTATTTGAGCGTGCTCCACCATTTACAAAGGCCATGGTGATCTGATTGTAACTGCAATTTCACATTCCTGTATACCCTGATAACCTTTCAACCTCTTGTTTAGCAAGAATCCAATCACCTTTATCCTAAAAAAATGCTTCCATCACCTTTTCAGGAACAGAGCTCCACATACTCACACACATCTGAGAGAAAACTGCTTCCTCGTGGGACTATCTAATCCTTTCCCAGTGGATCTTCCTCAATAAGAAGGAAAGGAATCTGTGCTACTCATCAAACCATCATTCAGGCTATCTGAGATGCATGGGCCTTTTTCACTTTCTTTTCTTGCCTCTTATTCAGTGATATTTGACCACATTTCAGTTTGAGTAACAAAGAAATGAAACGATTCAGAGGCTGGTAACTGCATCTTATCTGAGTAGGATTTAAAGGACATTTGTTTTACGGATTTCCAAACCATAAGTTATATAAACTGCTGCTGGTCCTGATATACTTGAACTGTCACTGAACTGTTGGCCGCTCCATATCCATTAGTCTGTGTAACAAAAGGGCTGGAACCTCATCTTCAATATGGCATTCATTGTCTGATGTCAGGACACTCTCTACTTTAACCCAGCCTTTTCTGAGATCATGAACTGAGGAGAATAGTATTACAGTCTATCAGTGAAAACTAGTTTGGGTTGAATGTATTTATAGAGTCACAGAATCCATAGCACGGAAACAGACCCTTCGGTCCAATTCGTCCATAGTGAGCAAGTTTCCCAAACTAAACTACCCCCATTTGCCTGCATTTGGCCCTTATCCCTCTAAACCTTTCCTATTCATGTACTTATCCAAACTGTTGAAACTGTACCTGCATCTACCACTTCCTCGGGGCACTTGATTCCATTTATGAACCATCCTCTGTGTGAAAAAGTCGTCCCTCATCTCCCTTTTAAATCTTTCTTCTCTCACCTTAAAAATATGCCCCCTGGTTTTGATCTCCTTTACCCTAGGGAAAAGACCTTTGCTATTCACCTTATCTACGTAATTGTAGAAGTTGCCAGGGCTGTTTGGTTTTAAAACTGTTTGCTGGAACTTTGTGAAAGCACACATTAGAAGCTTCTGACTGACAATAGAGCTCAATAACCAAGCTGACATTGCAGTGCAGTACTGAGGGAGTGCTCCACTGTCAGAGATTCAGTCTTTCAGATGAAGCCTTAAACCTCTGAATTGAATGTAAAAGTAACCTGAGACTAATTCAAACAAAAAGAAATGGTGTTCTCCTCACTATCCAGATGAATATTTCTCCTTGATACATCACCATTAAAATCGATGATCACATTGCTGTTCATGAGATCTTGTCGTGCACAACTTGGATGTCACATTTCTTACACTTGAGCTGCTCAAAAGTACTCAATTGACCATAAAGCACATTGGGACTTTATGAGGACATGAAAATACAAGTCATGCTTTCTTTAATTTTTGAAACATGCAGTGCCACCTCTTCTCCCATCAGCTTTTTTTGCTCTTCCTTACTGTGTTAGATGCTGACTTGTGCTGGAGTGTAGTTTGTAGGTGTTAAGTGCCTTAACATACCTCACTCACCTGCCCATTCTGTGTGGCAAGTTGACACTGAGAAGCATCACAGCCATTTCTGATCGTGGCCTTCTTCACTTGACATTCTTGTGAATGGTCTCACGGCATAGTGGTTATCGCATCTAACTTTCTTGCGGAAGGTCCTGGGTTCAATCCCCAATGGAACCAGTTATTTACAGTGGCATGGTGTCTCAGTGGTTAGCACTGTTACCTCACAGTGCAAGGGAACCAATTTGATTCCAGTCTTGGGTGACTTTGTGTGGAGCTTGCAAGTTCTCCATGCGTTTCTTCCAGGTGCGCCAGTTTCCTCCCACAGTCCAAACATGTACAGCTAAATTGTCCTGTTTGTTCAGTGATGTGCAGGTTCGGTGGGTTATGCTGTCTGGCTGGGCTGCTCTGTGGAGGGTCAGTGCAGATTTAATGGGCCAAATGGACTATTTCTGCAGTGTAGGGATTTTAACATCCTAGTAGTTTTCAAAGGCAGTAGTAAATAGCATTCAAGAGATAACAAGGTGTAGAGCTGGATGAACACATAAGGCCAGGCAACATCAGAGGAGCAGGAAAGCTGACATCTCAGATCTGGACCCTTCTTCAGAATAAAAAATAGCATTCAGTTGTGGAAAACATTTACTTCCAGACAGTATTCTGCTGAGAGAGATAGTAGGAACTGCAGATGCTGAAGAATCCGAGACAACAAGGTGCAGGGCTGGATGAACACAGCAGGCCAAGCAGCATCATAGGAGCAGAAAGGCTGACGTTTCGGGCCTAGACCCTTCATAGGTCAACTTCAGCAGAAACCTTTTATTCAGCTCAATTATTGAAACACAGCATCATATTCACAAACTGAACAAATGGGGTAATTAAAAAGTGATGATAAAGACACAAAGCATTTTTTTAAGATGAACTATTCTTCAATAAAATGGACCTAAATAAAGCAAAACATTGAAACCTTGCTGTATTTGAATGTTGCCATAACACCCATCCGACACATTGAGGAAGGCAGGTCGGGTTTTGGTTCAATTTTTCCACTGCCAAACTACTAGAAGGAGGAAAATAGATTTCTGCTATAATTCCAAAGCAATTTTCCTGCTTTATTTCGCCTGATCAAGACAAGACTAATGGGAAAACTGGAAGATGGTGCAGTCAAATTGAGGTCAAACTTTCCAAGAGTGAGATACTTTTGCTTTTGCATCTGTCAGCCAAATGTACACTCCTGTTGTTACCAAGATAAATGTAAACTTCATTCAGTAGGTAATAATTCTGCCTCAAAGACAGAAGGCTCTGAGATTAAGCCCTCCCCAGGCTGTATGTATAGGATAGGCTGACATTGCAACACAGTAGTTAATGAAGGCATGTTACAGTACCAGAAGACTTATTTTTCATTTATGGGATGAGGACATCAATAAATCACATTTATTGCCTGTCCCTAATTACCCAGAGGGCAGTTAAGAGTCAACCACACTTCAGTCGGTTTTGAGTCAAATGTAGACTAGACTGGGAAAGGAGGGCACTCTCCTTCCCCAAAGGATGTTAGTGAGCTAGTAGATTTTTTTTTCCCAGCGAGTTGACAATGGATTCGTGATCATCATTTAGAATCTTAATTCCAGGTTTTCTTTTGTTGCCATAGCAGGATTTGAACCCAGGTCCCCGGAACATTACCTGGGTCTCTGGATTAATAGTCCAGCAATAATGCCACTAGACCATCACCTCCCCATGGTCCTTTGGGTAAGATGCTAAATGACTACTCTAATGGCTTAGATGAGCGTATTCAAAGCAGGTAAATATCCCAGCCAACGTTCACCTTTAACAACCACCAAAGTCAGGTTGGCTCCTGGTTATTGATTGCATTGCTTTTACAAAATGTTTGCTCGAGCATTTGGATGCATGGCAATAGTCACTATACTTTAAAACAAAATACTTTGAAACAGTTGTCAGAGCTGTGATGTGAATGTAAGCATTTTCTTCTTCATTAATTATGTGTTCTATTCCACAGTCAATCTCTGAGGCTTTATTCATTGACATTGGCCAGTTACTCACCACGATTTATGTGTGAATTACTTGTGCCATTCTCTGTTCACTATCTCCTTTCCTCCCAGGAGCAAGCATAAATGTCCCATTGCATTCCTACCTTTTCACAAGACTGGAAACTCATTGTTTGTAGATCTGGTGGGTGGCTGAAACAAACTTGACAACTTGTCAAATAATACCTAGAGAATTTTCTTCAGAAAATAAAGACTTAAATTGATACCACATTCCTCAGAACATTTCAAAACAGATACAAATAATTTGTCACCAGCTCCATCTTCTAACTCTGAGTTGTGATCAGTCTTAAAGCAGCTTTGTAAAGCATTATTAAACTGCCTGGGAGGGTGATGGATCTGACTTGGGCTATTGGGATAGGCAGAGGTCATCATTCATTGCACTGCTGGATGCTCGCGTGAAATTATGACTTATACAGAATACAATAGAATAACCTTTATCATCACATGTACTCCAGTACAGAAGTACAGGAGAACAGTGAAAAGTTTTTACAACAGCTGCTTCTAATGACACCATGTTAGGTACAAGTCTTGGATACAAAGAGGAATAAAAGGAAAACGAGTAGCTTTGCTTACAGTGTCTAAAAAATAAGTTAGAATTAAGATAGTTATAATATATAGTTAAAGGATTGACGTTACAGTCTGGTAAAGAATTTCAGATCGATATTACATTGCAGCAGCTCAGCGAGCACATGGTCTGACTGCCCCTACCAGGCCCCAGCCCAACAACAGTCGCACTCCACTCCAAGCCTCCAGGTCCGCTCTCCCAGACACTCAGCTGTACCAAGGTAAGCTGCGCCGCTCCTAGACTCACATTTCCTCTCGCAGATCTCCAGGACTCCTTTCTCCTTGTGCTTGTCCAGGGCTCGTTCCCCTCGTGCTGCTCTGGGACATGCTTCCCCTCGCTCGGCTCTGGGGACTAATACCCCGAACGCTGCTCCAGGACTGCTAAAATGAGAGAGAAAATAAAAAGAAACAAAAGAACCAGCAGAGCAAAGGAGCTCCGGGTGGAGCATGCTTCTCTGCCGTCATCTTGCCGACACGAATATACACACCTCTGCCATTCTATGGGAAAAGGTTGTGAGTATGAATTTTCTACAGTGTTTACACAGCCTGTTTAGGTAATTTCTGCATGTCTCTGAGATCCTGCACCCATGCAATCACCCTCCAATTGCCGATAGTGAGCGGCAAAAGTAATCTGTTGGCTGTTGTTTGAAATGTTAACATAATTCGATTGATAGAGAGTGGAATGGATGGTTCTAATCATTCTGCTTGCTGAGTCACTGAGGGAAAGATAAAGAAGAAACAGCAGGGATCTGAAGTCTGTTAAAGTTTTCAATCACTGGAGCTGATTCTCACTCAATCTCCACGCATTCCAGAAGGCGGTCACTCGATAACAAAAATAGGGATGCTCAAGAATGAGCTGGTTTGGAGTAGGCATGGAGTGATGGGTTCTCTGAATGATCTTTTCCATTATTGTGAAATGTTTATCAATTCACTTGGGGCCTCTTTACTGTTGGCTGAAATGTGCAGCGTTCTGATTTTAATTTTCTCTTCGCTGCTTATCAGTCGCCAAACTTCCACTGACCTGCTGTAACTGTTCTGTCGAATCATCAAACATTATAACAGTGAAGCAAGCCATTTGGCTAGCATTTACTTTATCTGATATAGTCAAAACCCACTCTCTTGCTCACTTGCTCCCCATGCCCTCTAATATTTTATTTCTTGAGTAACCAAAGAATTTCCTTCCCATGTCACGCGTCACGCATCAGTCCTGAGCTTTCATCTCATTAGTTTTAATTTAAAGTTCTATACACCCACATCCTGAATACCTTGATGTAGTGATTTTGGGTTAACTTTCTCTCTGCCCTTTAATATCTCATGAAGTTCAGACAGATTCTTATTTGTTAATTTGATTTTTTATATCTCAAGACGATTTCCTCACACTCTGATCTATTAAGCAAATTCCCTAATATACAGCAGTAAGTGCCCTGAGACAGGATGCTTTTGCAACGAATTCAGTGCAAATTTGGCACACTTATATCAAATAACATGCAATGAGTGGCAGTAAAATTGAAGAAAGCAACTCAGGGTGATTTGGCCAAAGTAGAAATGGGGCCAGAAGTCGATGCAATTTTGTGCAGACAAATGAGAAGTATATTGAAAGGAAATACGCGCAGCGCACAAACACCATGACAGGATTCAAATCTGGGTCCCCAGAACATTACCTGGGTCTCTGGATTAACAGTCCAGCGATAATGCCACTAGGCTATCACTTCCCCCCAATAAGCTTGAAAATGATGGAATTGGTCTGAGCTTGTCTTTTATACCTTAATATGGAACTTCAGTTTGGAGCAGTACCATCATTCCCAGATCTTACTGGTTTGTACTGGTTTTTCTTTGCAGTGCATGGTTCTGCCAAAACGAAATTGGGAGACATTTTGTTAATGCACGCAGTGCAGAGAAGAGAATAATTAACCTCATGCTGATTGGAATGTTTGATAGAGCAAGGAAATCAGAGCAAGTGTCCAAAGATACACTGTTAAACCATGAAGAAAGGGAGATATCTGTTCACATGGTATTCACTTTTATTCTTCTACTTTCAAATGGCTGGTTCATACTAGTTTTGAAAATAGAACGTAGAAATACGTATTTTGAACATTGACCTGAAAAGTTCCAAGGTTGGGGAAGGAAATCCACTGTTCTTACTCCGTCTGGCCTACATATGATTCCAGACCCACAGCAACATTGTTGACTTGTTAATGCCTCTGAAATGGCCTAGTAAGTTACACAAGTTAAAAGTGGTGCTCCCAATGGATTGGTGTTAAAGCCCTTTTTCTGATTTGTATAAACTATTTGGAGATGGATTTTGTGGGCAAAATCTCTAAATTTGCAGATGGTCTAAGCTGTGGAGAATAATGAATTGTGATCATGACTCTGAGGGACTTCAGAGGCGCATTGACAAGTTGGCCAAATGGGCAGTCACCTGGCTGGTCGACTTCAATGCAGAGAAATGTGAGGTCATGTACTTTGGTAGAAGAAAGATGGAGAAACAATACAGGTTCAGTGGTACAACTTTGAGGGGACTACAGGAGCAGAGGGACCTTAGGGTTCGTGTGCATAACTCTTTGAAGGTGACCAGGCAAGTTGAAAATGTTGTTCAGAAGGCTCATATTGTGAGTTTATAAATAGAGACATAGAGTATAAAAACAAGGAAGTGATGCCACACCTCTACGCATCTTTGGTCAGGCCACATTTGGAGTATTGTGTTCAATTCTGGGCACCTTATCTAATGAAGGATGTTAGAGCCCTGGAAAGAGTTCAAAGGAGGTTTATTAGAATAATACCAGGAACGAGGGATTTTAGATACAAGGAAAGATTAGAGATATATGAGGGATTTTAGATACAAGGAAAGATTAGAGAGATTGGGCTTATTTTCCTTGGGGCAGAAAAAATTAATAGGTGACCTTATTTGAAATGTTCAAAATTATGAACAACTTTGCCAGGGTAAAGAAGGATATTCTGTTTCCACTGCTAGTATGTCAGTAACTAGGGGTCACAGTTTCATGATTGTCAGCAAGAGAGCTAGAAGTGAAATGAGGAGAAACTTCTTTACTCAGAGTTGTTAGGATTTGGAATGGGAGAGTGATGGAGGCAGATTCTATAGGAGGTTTCAAAGAGAGCTAGATATATATTTGAAAATGATGAATTTAGAGGGCTACAAAGAGTGATACAGAATGGGACTAACTCACTCCTCTGATTGGCTTTTCCTGAGTCTTTGCTTAATATCCTTCCTCTATCCCCTTTCACTTATATGTACAACACGGGGGGAACCACTGGATGAGCAATTCCAGATGCAAACAAGTTTGTGGCATTATATTTTAGAGCTCTAAATGTCCCTTATGCCCTCCACCCTGCATGCCACCCTCACTGTACCCAATATTAAACAGGCAGTGATCAGATTTTATCATGTCTTTCAGCAGTTTTCTCCCCATATCTGTTGCATGCTGTAATGTTTTTAGGCATGATGCGTAATCCATTCCTGTGCCTTCTTCCTTTGTGTCTAAATAGTGATGATTGGTGGATAGTGATCAGGAATAGAGCTTTATTTAGGTATCCTCTCTCCCAAGCCAATAGACACTGAAACTAATTATGCTGTGGTGCCATTCAGGATTGTCATGTTCAGGGTATTGAGATGCTGTGGAGAGCTTATATTGGCAGCATTTCAAGCTGCACTGTACCAAGCAATAAAATTACTTCCTTGGTACATCTTTGAGCATCATGTATTTTAAATTATTTTATGTATTGTAAACCAAACCAGGCGTCTTAAAGTTGAGGATGACACAAACTGAAGGCTGTCTTTGACAGTCAAGAAAACGATTATCTAAATAAATGATGTTACGTAAAATAAATACCTTGTCCTAGATGAAAACACATTATCTCAAAAGTCTCACTTTAAAGAATATGTTCAAATGAATATAGCTAGTGAGCATTCTGATTTACTTTAAGAATTTCTTGCTTTTTTTTAAAACCAGTGTTCCTTCTATCTTTTTCCCTTCTCTTATGCTATCTCCAGAACTTCACAAAAGTGAGATTGAGTGAGTGCCAACCTCCTTCATTGGGAGATATCAGAGCTAAGCCAGTTCCAGACCAAACTGACTTGTGTAACTAACGGATCTCCAGCAAACTAGCAGGATGTAAACTCTTTCAGTTCTAACGGTGAATCCAGCTCCTGTGATTAGAAAGGGCCAACATCACTGCCAATATGACGTGGTCTGAATGCTGCCCCATTTGTTAGCTCATGTAGCATAAGCCACAGTGATCAGATTCTTATTGAGACAGATGTATTGAAGTTTATTAGCAACATTAACTATTTGCATTGTTATAATATCACAGACTTACACTTGATCTGGGCTTTTATAAATTCATTCATTTTGTGGGATGTGGGTGTTGCTGCCTGCCAGCATTTATTGCCCATCCTAGTTGCTCTTGTGAAGATGTTATTGTATATTACACACATATCTGATGACCAAGCAGATTTCACTATCTCCATAACACTTAGATACACTTGGATCTTGACTGACATTTATACTACAACGTCACATGTTATGATGATATATAACTGATGTAATTTCACGTGAGGTAATGTCATGTAACTCTGATCCATGGTGTTTTGAGTTGTTTTTCATCGGGAACATGAAGATGGTTGATACATCCTTCAGTGCCTGACCTTCCTCATTCTCCATCATAACCTTTCTTGTCTTGTTCTTTGCATTATACATAAGAGTATGGTATTTTGCATTTTCTCTCCTATTCCTTCTTCCCTCCACCTTGTGTTCTGCTCCTCCGCATTGAAAACAAGATTTGTCATACACTTTTCAAGTTTAACTCATTCTAATTCCTCAAAATTGTGGAAACCCTGGCCTCAGTCTGTTTTTCCCTCCACCTACAACCTTCAGGCTTATAAAGCCCAACATTCATATTACCCATTCATTGCTTCTTGATTTATTCCATCTTCTCTCCTATAACATCTTGAAACCTTGATGATGACCTGTGTTATCAGCTGCCTTGGCTGGTCTCTTGGGAGCAATTCTATCATGAGTCGAGGGTATATCAGTGATCTGAGTATTTTAATCCACCTCCCTCAGGTCTCATACAATAATGCTCTGTTGATGACTTGTACATTGAGCACAAATAATTGGCAAATAATAGCAGCAATAGTCAGATAAAAAGAACTTGTCATGGTAATTGTTTGTGCCTTATTTCTGATGGGGTTACTGATGTTAATGCACTATCTTTAAGGGTTGTAATGAGCCCATTTCAATGTTAACACATTGTAATCGATCACATTATACATCAGCCTCTTGGAGTGCAGCAATCTACCTGTACTGCAGAATACACTGATGACTGTTTTATGTTTTTATAATGTTTTTCACAGACAGTATGTTTTTGCTGGCGTGCTGGCTCCCAGGGCTCCTCCATGCAGCAGACTGAGTGGCTGGTCTCCAGGCTCCCACTCACACTATAGCATCGTTCAATCAGTATGAGAGATGACAGTCTTGTTCAACTCTGAATGCTGG